AACACGCTAAAAGTCTCTCCAAGAATTCTAGAAAAACACAGCTTCTCTGTTCAGTACACAGTAAACATGATCAGTAAGCTGCAGCTAACTAAATCTAGACTGGATACATTTAGCAACATGCCATCTACTTTTTGTTCAAAGACAATGCTGAACAAAATTGCCAGATCTGGTTTACGGTTAAACCATCTTATCCTTGCAGGAAATAGAGGAGGTGTTGATGGCATACGCGAATTGCTAACCGAACAGTTTGACGGGAAGCCCCGAGTTACTAAAGACAAGAAGATACTGGACTCGATTTCAGAACACATTATGTCATTGAAAAACTAGAAAAAACATTGTCTGAACGCATATACTTTTGTTATTGTATATCACGTTTAGTTTCTAGACGAAACACATTACAATTTTAAAATATTTGCATCAATTCACAATCTTCACTAAGATTAATTAAACAAAACCACGGATAAGAGAAAAGAGAAATGATAATTTGCATCAAACTTCCAAAATATCTTTTGTGTTGGGTTTTTACCTATCAATTACGTGTATCCCCTTTGCTTTTATAATATTGAACACACCATTTAATTTTAGGATGAAAAATTAAATCAGTACTATTGGGCTCGATGTATGTGTTTATTTTTTGTGTTGTGTTCATGTGCCATTGAAAACATAATTATCAATACATATATGTTACCTACATCTACGTCGTACGACGATCCATCGGCACATTGATGACTATTCAATTATTCTGCAACGATCAGGTAAAAGAAATGTTTGTTTTGTTTACTACTGTTTGTCTTTTGTTTTTTTTTAGTTTTTCCGTGGCATTGTCAGTTTGTTTTCGGCTTTGGTACATTTCGTTTCCCTTATTGTGCAGCAGCAAATATTTCATGTATCAATGAATGTATATCGTCATTATAATCAAAGAGACACCTTGATGTAGCTGTCGTTGTCTTTATTTGACAAGATTTCTATGTTAGTGACGATTCTGCTGATGGAGACTTGACGTTGCGTAATCCTTTTCGGCGACGTCATGCAATTTCTATCTTTTTTCCGTCAGCAACACCCTTTCAACGGCTGATATATAAAAAGAGAGTCCGGTAACCATAGGAAAATTATATATCAATGGAAAGGAAAATTCTATCATAAAAACATTTAATTTTTATAGAAAAATTGTAGGAATGGTTTTAACTTCAGATTAAATTAAGCTTGAAATTTCTTATTTTTTGCGTAAATTTGACGTTATGTCTATGTACTTCATGGTGTTATTCTAACAATTTCAAATGACTGTAACTTTTAAATTAGAACGGTTACCCACTCAAATTTTTCAATTTTTCTGTTTATTTTTAAAAGTTCTACGTGCATACAATTTCTTTAAAAAATCGGTGGATAAGCCATTTACGTACCTGTTACCTTAATAACATAAACGGTACCAATTTTAATGCACCAGATGCACATTTCGACATTTAATGTGTATTCAATCATGCTCGAGATTCAAGTAGGAAAGACTTTGAACAATCCCAACCGAAACTAGACGAAAAGTCGATCTACATGATCTGCCACTTAGTAGAGCGTATAGTTTTTTAATAAATAAAGTAAGAACAAAAGCTAGTTTAAATGTATTTATGAAATTACTAAAGGCTTAATCAGTAAAAAATTACTCGCGTTATTTGATATTTTTCGACTCAATTGAATAGACATATTTCATATTGTTTTCTTGAATCATGATATCGTTTATTTTTTCTTCAGAATACAGTGCTTTGAATAAAAAATTTCATATTCGAAACTCCTCTGATGTATACATACGCTTACGTTTCATGTGTATTTAAAATATGGAAACGATATTATGCTAAGGCTTTCTTCTTCTTTGAAAGACTTATATTTTTATCTCACGAAAGTTTCAATTTCAATCTGTGATCATAATCATCAATGTTGATTACTGCAATTCATTGACTGTTGAACGATAAAATGGCCGAAGCTGTGGAGAAGGAGTTAATTTGTCCGATATGTGGGGATTATTTTACCAGTCCAAAGGGTCTACCCTGTCTACATACGTTCTGCAGAGATTGTTTGAAATCGCATATCATGTCACAGATAATTAAAGGACAATTTTCCTGTCCTATGTGTAGGACGAGCGTCCCTGCTCCAGAAGAAAAGCCTCGTTCTGAATGGGTAGACATATTTCCAACAAATCATCATGTGGTCAGCATCATGGATATTGTTGTTCCTAATTTTGAACCCATTTATTGCAAAATATGTAAAGAAAGGGGTTTACGACATAAAGCTGTGAAACATTGCAAGATATGTGTAGAGGATTTTTGTTTGGAATGTGCAAGACTACATAATTTGTTTAATGCAACGAAAACTCATTCTTTAGCGGAAATACAGAACAAGCAACGTCAGCCGGATACAAGACCATCAGCTTCCAAAACTCAAGATGGATCCTCTACAAAATTAAGCAATTATGATAACTATATTATCAAAGCAAAGTTTAAAGGGTGTATTGATTTAAAAACTGACCACGGTGACGAGCCATCCTTTATAACAAGCTTAATTTTTTTGGAAGATGACCGCATTGTTGCTGCTGATAACTGCAATTATAAGATAAAACTTTTTGAAAGCGAAGGAAAATTTGTTTCCGAGATATGCCAAGTTCGTCCCTTTGGCTTAACCCTGATTCATCAAACTTACATTGCTTCAACTGAAGCAGGATACATTAAATTTTTTCATATTTATCCAAATAAAATCAAAATTGAAAAAACATACAATGCAGAATGGAAAATATATACTCCTCATGCAGTGCCCGTGTCAAATGCTCTGCGTGGTCTCCATTATTGTAATGGTCAATTTGTTGTTTGTTCTGGTGACGATTTAGATAAACACGTGACCGTTTTAGATGCAAATGGTAAAAATCAACGTCATATTTGGAAGAAAGACAGTTTTCGAGGAAATATATTCAAAGATCCATGGTATTGTAAGTTGAGTAATAACTTAGAAGACATTTATATCAGTGATGGGACGGGTGTTTTCGGTAGTGTAAAGTGTGTATCATATCATGGCCAAGAGAAATGGGAGTATTCTTGTCAAATGCCTCGTGCCATCGATATTATTGGAAATCATGTTTGTGTGGCTGATTGGCGCGAAGACGAAATAAAGGTAAATTAATACTATAGCAAAACATAATGGCTATTGGTAAAAAAAATGTAGGCTTATATTGCGATTTATGTTATTAACATTTTGTCATATTCATTTATTTAGATTATAAAAAACTGATGTGAACATTGCTATAGTAAATACGCGTGCAGAAAAATATTATCGGCGGTAAACATACATTTGCAAACCAAATGAAAAGTGACTTCCATTGACGCTCTGACTTCATGGAAATACTGTCAATGAACCAAACCAAAAGCGTTCAGTGGTTTTGGGTATACATGTACTTCAAATAGGCAACAAGCCAGACTTCTAAAAGCTCTGGTCGCACCAATTTGACATTCTTCTTGACAGGTCTCAGTAAGCAAAACTAAACACAAATTCTTTGTTCGAAAAGTTGTCTATGCTTCAAATTCCGGTCTGTCTCGTGAAGTATGTCATAAATAAGACCGTTAGTTTTCGCAATAGAATTGTTTCATATTTTTCATGTAGGCGCCTTTTATAGCCGACTATACGGTATGGGTTTTTCAGTCTCATTGTTAAAGGCCGTACGGTTGCCTATAATTACTTACTTCCACTTCATTTGAACTTCATACCACATCTCATTAGTTTTAGTTTTATATTACTTACAAATCTTAGATGTGACCGAAGATTTTGAGAACTAAATGTAAGGATATTCTAATATATAATCTAGTAGACATAATTTCACTATTCAGTGCGGTTTTACCTGTACCACTGAAATTCATTTATTTAATGTATGCCGTCAGCAACATAACGAACCGCTTTTAACAGGAGAAATTAAAAGAGAGGCGAAAGATAGAAAAAGGGACATTCAAACTCAAAAGTCGAAAATAAACTGACAACGCCATGGCAAAAAAAAAAGAAAAAGACCAACAGACAAACAGACAAACAGACAAACAACAGTATACAAAACACAACATTGAAAACTAAAGACTGAGCTACACGAACCCCACAAAACATTGGGGTGATCTCGGGTGCTCCGGAAGGGTTAGCAGATCCTGGTTCACATGTGGCACCTGTCAAAACGTAAGAGGCGTCTTGGCTACATCGTTTTGCAGATAACATTAAGTTAAAACGCATGTGAAGATATTTTCACTACATTGTCACAGCTTCAAAGTACTTGTGTTTTTTCCTTTAGTGTTTCTATCTTAATGACGTTCGAATTGTAACCAATACATAAGGAGCAGCAATACTTTACCGATATTCAAAACTCGGAAAAACGTTTTACCGATATTCAAAACTCGCAAAAATGTTTTGAGTTCACAAACCAAGGGAATCACATAAACTTGAAAAAACAAAAACAACATAGCCTCAGGGTAAACAGATTGGAAGCTTTGAGTTCTTGTCGAACGATATTAGACATATCCTTAAGAAAGCTACCGGTACCAGATGTTATCGTGTAAACAGATTTTTTTTTAATTAGTAAGTAGAAGTCTGGTTTGTTTCAGGTGCTAACAAAAGATGGGAAATTTGTAAAAACTTTGCTAAACAAAGAAGATGGCATTCGTCGTCCACAAGCAATAGCAGTGAACCACTCCGGGGATAAATTAATTGTTGCGAACAGTCCCCCATACAGCAGTGATGTATTACTTTTATTTGATCTGGAATATAAAAAGACTGAAGATATCAAAGCATCGAAAAAGAAAACAAGCTCTTCTCTTTGTACACTTTGTTGAACATTCCACTGTTTAAAGAAAACAAGCTCTTTTCTTTGCACACTTTGTTGAACATTCCACTGTTCAAATATGTGGAATATATAGTACAATAAATACTGTTTAGAAATGTGTTGTCTCGTTCCCGTTTACATGTAGATTCACTTAAAACAAGAGAAAAACTTAATTATATCACTTTAATTTGTTAATGATAAGTATGTCGTTCCTTTCATCTGTTTAAAAACCTGCAAAAAAAAGAAGATTCAATAAGTTAAGTGTAGTGAAATAACAGAGAAACGCCACTAATATTTAAAACAAAGGCGATGTGTGGTAATGAGACTTAAGGTCTTAACTGTCTCAAGTGCAAAAATAAAACTAAAAAATATCCAGATGTTACCATACGCTCATGCATGTCTTCCATGTAGCACTATAAACGAACGTTATCAAGATGTTGCACCATACATGTACCATGGGACACTGATATTCGAGAGCCACTGATGAGTCTTGTGTAGACAAAAGGCGCGTCTGGCGTACTAAATTGACATTTGTTATATATCTTTGAGCAGTTTTAGCAGTTTTATATATATACCATATAGCAAATATCAAAACTATAGATTTAAACGGAACTTCACAATTTTCTGTCTACGGGTGTATTTTCTATTGCTCTAAAGTAAGATCATCTTGTTTTGTATGCCTTGAAGGAATCATATATATATAATTTTCCTTGGCTTAATTATTAAATTTCATTCTTTCGTGCGAATGCAATGACTCAATCCATATTAAGGCAAACACGATTTATAATTATTTTTAAAATGAGAAACTACGCCTGCTTAGTAAAATTTATATTTGAACTTAATTCAATCCAAAGAAGGGACCCAAGATAAAATGTATACTTACAGAAATTGCTTTCACAAATATAGTTTACTTGATGTGAACAGAGGTAGTCTATCCATTTCCCATCGTGACCATTTGGAATTTGTACACAGTTATGACCTGCCCCTTTTGAACCGTAGCCAGATATCCATGTTGTGTACGTTGCTTTTGACTGATCAAAGCTCCATCTCCACTCGCCTTCTTTGAGGTCAGTCAGGGCTATCCAGTAATGAGCTTCTGCAATATGAGAAGAGTGTTTATCAGATTTTTATTACATATTAGCTCCGTCGTATTTTTTGTCTCACCTATGACTGTCTCATCTGTCGACGCACCCGGTCTTGCTCCTTTTTGGGTTCATGATATTCTCTCAGATTTTGTGTGTTACTTTGATTTGTCTGTGTTTCTAATCGATTTACGAGATTTGAACATTGGTTATACTACACTGTCGCCGAATGTCAAAAAAGGCCCGACGAGTGCATATTTGCTAGCCGAGGATAAAGGTACTATCCACTGGTCTCCTTTGAATAGCTGTAATTATGAGACAAGTGATGCGTTTTGAATAATAAAGAATCAAGTTTAAGGCAAAGCATAACAAACAACCAATTTATGTGGAAATAACGGCCAATAGTTCACTTCGAATGACGAGATCTGACATGATAGACGAATGCCGACGTAATTGATTTAATTGACAAGTCTGTGCACCTTTGGTGACAAAGGATGCTCAAGTACCTCCAGGTTAAATACTAAAGAGAACGAGGGCCACGATCCCCAAATACGTCGGCTCATATTCGCATCACCCCCTGGTTTTCAGGGGAGTGAAGATTAACAATTCCTAGATAACAAAACAGTTAAGCTCGAACTGGTACCAATTCAGAACCGGCCACTCATGGTATACATGAGATAGTCTCAACAGAACTTCCTGCGGTAACGCAGGAAAGTAATCAAAGCACGAAAGCGCTGTAAAGGCAGTTAATTACAGGTTGTGTGTATTTTAAGTCCAGTTATAGCATTATCTTGCATAGTACAGTGTACTTATTAGAGGTGGCTTTCAGTATTTAAGATTTAGAGTTCTCTAATGATATTGAATAAGTTTTATGAATGTCATATTCTGAGCACTATATGAAGGCGATTGTTCTCACTTGTTTATGAACTAGTGCATTATGTCCAGTTTGTACCTTTTTTATCTATGTTTATAGTCAAATTAGTTATCAAAGGTACCAGGATTATAATTTAATACGCCAGACGTGTGTTTCGTCTACATAAGACTCATCAGTGACGTTCAGATCAAAATAGTAACAAAGCCAAACAAGTACAAAGTTGAAGAGCATTGAGGACCCAAAATTCCAAAAAGTTGTGCCAAATACGGCTAAGGTAATCTATTCCTTGGATAAGAAAATCCTTAGTTTTTTCATTGGCAATCATAACACATCTCCTTATTTATATAATGATCTATATTCAACGACCTCAGGTACAAAAAAAATGTATGTAACTAAACTATGATGGGAAACCTTTGACTTCTTTCTTTATATAAACTTTTGATTTGGTACCATAGAACTATGTAGAGTAAATGTACATTGCAACATGTCAACTCTTTCAACTCCAATCAAAATTATATTTCCAAGCATAAAGTAATTTATGAATGAAATAAAAAAAAAAATGCTCCGCTGGGGCGCAGCTTGATACGACCGCAGAGGTCGAACCCTGAACAGTTGGGGCAAGTATGAACACAACATTCAAGCTTGATTCAGCACTGAATTTGGATTGTAATTAAATATTTGACACAGCATAGGTTTCTGACACAGAATGAAAGTGGTCTAAGATACTTAAAAAAATTTAATTTACCTATTCAAACCATATCATTATTATTTGCTTTTATATATAAATCAGAAATAACCAATTTAAAATGGAAAATTTTAAAGAAAAAAAAGGAAAAAGAATCCCCCCCCAAATTTTTTGAACCCCCTTATGATTCATCACCCCAAAACTCAATCCCAGCCTTCCCTTTGTGGTATGGTACCTTGCAGGACAATTTAAGAGAGATCCATACACTTGAACACATGTTATTGTCTGGAAACTAGAAAAATGCTTGTTTTTTGGCCCCTTTTTGGTCCCAAATTCCTTAACGTTTAGGGCAATTACCCCCAAACTCAAACCCAGCTTTCCCTTTGTGATATGGAACCTTGTAGTACAATTTCATAAAGATCCATACACTTACACACAAGTTATTGCCATGAAACTAGAAAAATGCTTGTTTTTTGCCCCTTTTTTGCCCCTAATTCCTAAAATTTGGAGGCAATTACCCCCAAAATCAATCCCAGCATTCCCTTTGTGGTATGGTACCTTGCAGTACAATTTCAGAGAGATCCATACACTTGAACACAAGTTATTGTCTGGAAACTAGAAAAATGCTTATTTTTGGCCCCTTATTCCTAAACTTTTTGGGCAATTACCCCCAAACTCAATTCCAGCTTTCCCTTTGTGATATGGAACCTTGTAGTACAATTTCATAAAGATCCATACACTTACACACAAGTTATTGCCATGAAACTAGAAAAATGCTTGTTTTTTTGCCCCTTTTTGGCCCCTAATTCCTAAAATTTGGAGGCAATTACCCCCAAATTCAATCCCAGCATTCCCTTTGTGATATGGAACCTTGTGATACAATGTCAGAGAGATCCATAGACTTGCACACAAGTTATTGTCATGAAACTAGAAAAATGCTTGTTTTTTGCCCCTTTTTGGCCCCTAATTCCTAAAATTTGGAGGCAATTACCCCCAAAAATCAATCCCAGCATTCCCTTTGTGATATGGAACCTTGTGGTACAATGTCAGAGAGATCCATACACTTACACACAAGTTATGTCTGGAAGTTACAAAAATGCTTATTTTTGGCCCCCAATTCATTAACTGTTGGTACCATAACCCCCAAAATCAATCCCCACTTTCCTTTTGTGGTATTGAACCTTATTTTAAAATTTCATTGAGATCCATTCACTTCACTGTACTTAGTGTCTTTTTGTTGTTTGGATGTACAACTACCCGACCACGTCCACTTGTATTTGTATTTATCCATCTGATGAGTTTAGCCTCTTTCAACTGATTTTTATAGTTCTTTCTAATATTGTACTGTTACACCACTGTCCCAGGTTAGGGGGAGGGTTGGGATCCCGCTAACATGTTTAAGCCAGCCACATTCTGTATGTACATGTATGTGCCTGTCCCAAGTCAGGAGCCTATAAAAGTGTAATTCAGTGGTTGTCGTTTGTTTATGTGTTGCATATTTGTTATATTTGTTCCTTTTTTTACATAAAATAGGCCGTTAGTTTTCTTGTTTGAATTGTTTTACATTGTCGTTTCTGGGCCTTTTATAGCTGACTGTGCGGTATGGGCTTTGCTCATTGTTGAAGGCCGTACTGTGACCTATAGCTGTTAATTTCTGTGTCATTTGGTCTCTTGTGCATGTGTGGAGAGTTGTCTCATTGGCAATCATACCACATCTTCTTTTTTATATTTACATCAACAGATATAAAAAATTCACCAAAGTCAAGGTGAGACAACAAAACTTAGTTGTAAGATCTCTGAAATAATAATTTTTTACAGGGTATGAGTTTTTCTCATTGTTGGAGATTGTACGGTGACAGTAACACCTGTAACTGCTTAAACCCATTTCTTATGCACTTTAGTTTGATAAACTCACTGAATATCATACCACATCTCCTTATTTTTATATGCATTACAATTTACATGTGCATGTAATTGTAAATATATATATATCAGAACAAAATTCATTGCGTCACTTTTATTTATACATCCTTTGGCACAATACAAGTTCTAAAATTACACAACATAAAACAACTAAATGTTATTTCAGATGAAAGTTTTGTTTCAGTTCCATTCATAGGATTTATTAGAATTTTGTATGTTTTGCCAAGTCCAATAATTCGCTCTATGTGACATAGAGACATAGTTGACTAAACCACCAGGTGTCGAACATTCAAGAATTTTCAGTGTTTCTGTTTTTATTTGATGAAAAGGTTGCCTGAGCTCTAGGAGCTTTAGGTTTTATCACGGGATATTCTGTGCTGTCAATAATAATCCAAGTCGTAGGAAACTTTAATTTGAAGTTGGATGGTGAAAAATACCTGACTAAACCACTAGATGGCCAAGTGTTAGCCTCACACCACTGTTTAGACATAAAAACAATCCATGTATACACAATATTCTTAACACTAGATTCAATCTAGAATCTAGACAGTTCAAAGTTGGTTGTATGATGCCTCAATTTCATCAAAGTCATAAAAAAACTGATTTTCAACTGACACCCTATCAATTTGAAAATATATGTATCTCAAACAATGTGCTGCTGGACCAAGTGTGGTCAAAACAAATAAAAATTTAGTATACAACTCTAAACCGATATAAAAATGCATGGCTGTGTCACGTGTCTTCATTTAAAAATTCTCTGTTAAAAACATAGGCATTGATGGTGTTTGCGTAATTCCATCTGTGAAGCTCAACATTAGCTCGGCAGTTGGTGGTGGACAGTCATAAATCCTTTCTGCAGTATGAATGACTTCTTCAGGAAAACCAACTTTACAATCAAAACTTTCCTCTAGATTTCTACTACAATATTCATCAAGTTTAGTTCTTTTGTTTTCACAGGAAACTGCCCTGATTTTTCTTTTTGCGGACGATTCAGTCTCTTGCTTGGTCCAGGAAAATAGGCTGGGAATTGCAGTAGACTTAAGTCTCTGTATGGTGGGTTTGCGCCCTGAAAAAGGTTATAAAACATTAGTTTTTTTATAATTAAATGAACTTCCATTAGCAATGTATACTTTGTACTATCTGGCGAAATATTAACTAGATTTATTCATTACAATCTGGATAAAACTATGTTTGCCTGATTCAATGTATGTTATGTAAATCCAAAGGACAAACATATGCAACAATCGTACATTGTTTGTACCTAAATAACTATAATATAGATGAGAGCATGTCATTGTTTTGTTCCTGTTAACATTGTCATTGATATTTTTCAAGAAAGAGTATGAGGCATAGCTTATGCATTCCTGTCATTACTACATTAGCATAATTACTGCTAAAATAATTCTCAGTATGATATACCTCTTGTAAGAAATCATTATAATTGTAGCAATCACCAAAAAATCTCAAACAGATCACATTGAATCGTAATCCAAAAAATTATGACGTCTTGAATTACCCACCCCCTTTTATTCTAAAACGATAATTGCGGTTGTAAACAGACTTTGGTTTATTCGCATGGCGATTACATATATAACTATATATTTCACAAAGAAAATAGAGTTTTACCATGAATAGTTTCCTGCACGTAGTCTTTTTCAGTAAAACGTGCCTTGCAAACAACAGCTGATTGAGATGGACTCCACGATATCATCGTGTTCTCGTCCAATCTGCGTATGGGCCATGGCGTTGATCCAACTTTTCCTTCTTTTTAAGTCATTTGGAAATGCATGTCCTCCTCTTAAATGACATCCAGGTACACAACAACAAGTACTTGGCATCGTTAATTAAAAATATAACTGAAATAGTTGCACAGTGCAGAAACCGGAAGAAGAGGAACAGGATCCGCTACCACGGCGCCACCTATTCAGGAACGATAATTTGCTACTTTATATAACTGCGAAAATAACGTTAGACGGGTTCACGTGCATAAACAGAAATGCGCTTTAAATTGTATAATATAATTCATGTTCAGTCGACCTTTAATTATTATATCAACGACTGAAATGATTTATAAACATCTAGATTGCAGATAACACTCGAAATTAACCCGAGCTCTTTCCACACGGAATTCAAATAATTCTAGTTTGTCAATCGGTTGACTGCTTATATTGCAAAATACTAATATATCAAAAGTTTTTAAAACTAACAAAACACAATGATCGTTTCTCTATTTCCCAATGTAAATGAAATGAAACAAAAAACATTTTATATCGCAATAAGAAGAGGAGAGAATTCAACATTTCCGGATCTACTTGGAGTCTAATGACCCCCCACGTAGATAAGTTGGATATCGCGGAAGGAAGGATTAACCCGGCAGCTAGAAAGGCATTAAAGCACTGCCTTTAAAAAACTAATATGATCCGACGTACAATACAGGAAAGGGTCATAACCTTTAATCTTGTAGCGGATCCGAATGATACAATAGTTCTTTTATGGTAAATAAATAATCAAATCTCTTTCATTAAATTGGTGTATCTTATAAATGAGATAAACCGTATTATCGTCAACAATTGTTAAAGGGTGTTAGTAAGTCAAGATTTTTCTTAATATTCAAATGAAATGTATCCAATAGAAATAACTCTAAGTCAGTCCAACATGAAAAATTGGTTGCAGTCTTTTTAAAACCTTGAAATTTCTAACTGTATACTGCAAACCAAAATTTATTACAAACGGGATTTGTAATTTCCTAAATTGCAAATCTTTAGTAAGCAGCGCAAATTTCCCATTAGGTTCGTTTGTGCAACTACGAGGACGTCTGATATTTCAGAGAAATGCAATACTAGTATTTTAAAAGTAAAAACTTGTCCTTTTTTACGACCGGATAGAACGGTTATTTTAAATTAGTCAAATGTTAACTTAGTTCTAAAATAAATATATATGGGTTTGTTGTGGAAGTATGGAGGAATTTAAAAAAACTATATATTGATAAATCACTCCAATGTCGTAGTGTTGCTTTCTCGTTGACATATACTATAAGTTACAAACCAGTGGAGGATCCATTGGGCGGAGGCGGGGGCGTGGAGTGCTCTTTGATCGCCAAAAACATTTAGAATCTCATGATTTTCACGAGATATAAAAAAATTTAGAGTAAAATCGTCCAAATTTTGTTTATAAATTCATATATTGGGAATTACATCCCCTTTTAAAAAATCCTAGATCCGCTCCTACAAACTGTTGTATGTCAATAGTAAGCATGATCATGTGTATACCTTATTAAGTCATTTAGCTAAATCATATGGCAAGCCGTTTTAGTATTTATTCTAACTTCAAGATATCTAATAAACTTTATAAGATATCTCATATAGTTTATAAGATATCTTATATAGTTTATATACCTCATATAATTTTCAAAATAAGATATCTTATGAATTATATGAGATATCGTATAAACTATATGAGATATCGTATAAACTATATAAGATATCTTATAAACCATATAAGAATAAGAATAAGAATAAGAATAAGAATTTTATTAGTTTAAAATCCAAACAATAGGATTGTTACTAAATAAACAAACCAATACAAAACCAATAAGATATCTTATAAACTGTATAAGATATCTTATAAAATATATGAGATATATACCTGTACCAAGTCAGGAAAATGGCAGCTGTTATCAAATAGTCCGTTTCTATGTATGTTGGCGTTTGATTTTGTTGCAGTTCAGTGTTTCTGTTGTTCCGTTGTTTTCCTCTTATAGTTGATGTGTTTCCCTCGGTTTTGGTTTGTTTTCGCTTAATCGATGTATGACTATTGAACAGCGGTATACTGCTGTTGCCTTTATACATCTTATATAAAAAATATTTATTACATATCTTATAAACTATGAAGATATCTTGTAAATTTTAGAAGATATCTTATAAAGTATAAAAGTATATAAGATTTCTTATAAAGTATATAAGATATCTTATGAAGTATATAAGATATCTAATAAAGTTTATAAGATATCTTATAAAAACTAGATTATAAAGGATATCTTATATATTATATGATATATCTTATATATTATATGATATATCTTATATATTATATGATATATCTTATATATTATATGATATATCTTATATATTATATGATATATCTTATATATTATATGATATATCTTATATATTATACGTGATATCTTATATAATATATGAGATATCTTATCTTTTATATGATATATCTTATATATTATATGAGATATTTTATATATTATATGAGATATCTTTGAAGATAGAATAAACAGGAAAACGGCTTGCCATAAAATAACGTCATGGAATAGAATTATTTGTCAGTGTATGGTATATCAAGTAAATAAACACAAAAAGAAGTTTGAAAACATTTATGGCAGAGAATAAACTTCTGTCGACGATGTCTTACGAAATACGGAATAAGTATTCTAAACTTTTGTAGTAGGCGAGACAAAAACAGGATCATCGTTGTAAATCAAAGACTTGAAATCTTTGTAATGAGTATGGATAGTCAGACCCCTCTGCATCTAGTAACCAATTTGAATTCTACCTCCTCTGCATTAAGAAACCTACCTGAATACAGCCCCTCTTCATTATATGCTAGCAGTCCATCCCTCTGCAATAAGTAACCAACCTGAATATCCAACACCTTTACAACACGTACCCAACTAGTATTTCATCCCCTGACTCTGCAATACGTAACCAACTAGAATTTCTTCCCCTGTGCTTTACGTAACCAACTTGAATTTTAGACCACTCTACATTTAGTAACTAACTTGAAAGCATCCCTCTATTATTTATCAGACTAGAAGAACACACTCCAACGGCTTAAGATATGTTTGCTTACTTGTATTTGACCTGTGTTTAAAAATTCTGCTGTTTTCTTCCTGGTCGTTCATTTTAGCAATATAGCCACCTATTTCTCTGCATTTTCTCTGAAATTGTAGTGTCCTGCTGATAAATCGTTGCTATTGTAACATTCTAGTTTTTAAACTATTTTATAGTCAAGGATATTTTTAGCAAATTATATACTGAAAATACTCCGTTTGTCTCCAATATGGCATTTTATAGGTTTTTTTTTAAATGGACAAGTCTTTCATTCTGAATTAATCCTTTTAGAAAAAAAAATGTTTCCGTTAGTATTCTTTTTTTAAAAAACGATATGACTCTCTATGTGTGGGACGAATACAAAGGAAAGTGACCATGTCAGGACCTTCCGGTAGAAATCGTAACCAATGAAAATAATAAGACCTTTATACTTGTGCCATTTGGTTTCTACATTAATAGTTAATTCATTTATATAGAAAACAAAATATGAATAGACATTGAAAATTTAGTCTGAAATGAAAGCTATTTTGTTGCTCTTGTTACCTAATCTATCGCAAAATGCTGCTTGACATTTTGTTTCAAAAAAGAATTTCCTTATTTCTCCCCTCTCGCAAAGTTCTATTTCTTTTTTTATTTATTTCTCACCGTTTTAACGTGCAGCGATGTGTGCTGATAAAATATACAAATGTCTTTTGTTTCTTGATCAAGAAATGAATATGTAAAAGTTAATGGCGGATTCAAGATGAGGCGTGCAGTGCGTACGCCACCCTCCCCTTGGAACGGAAAAATATCATTTTTTGTTGTTTTTGCACAAAATCATACCCCCCCCCCCCCTTAAAAAATCCTGGCTGATGATCTAATACTCATGCATAGTGACTGTTAAATTAGAAAGCGTTATATATCGTATAAAACATTTGAGTCTTATGGTCTTATGCATCTTTTGGGTTTATAGACATATCTGAAAACTGGCTGCTAGTTTGAGCCTAGAATTTAACTTTGGTATCTTCTTCCCGATTATTTTACAAAGTTTTTAAAAAATATATGTTGATGAGATATCCTCTTAAAAGAAAAAAAATAGTAAGTTTTCTCGTTTGAATCTCTCATTTTTCAGGTCCGGGCCTTTTATAGCCGACTATACGGTATCGGTTTTTCTCATTGTTAAAGGCCATACACTGACTATAATTGCCTATATCCAATTATTTGAAATCTGGTCGATATTTGTCATTGGCAATCATACCACATCTCCTTATTTCTAAATAAAAAAGAAAGAATCTCGGACATTAAATTATACTTACTTTGAAAGTCTCTTCCGAGTACTTAGAAATCTTCTTCGAGCTTTTTTAATTTCTGCTCCATGTTAGTGAATGTATCTTTAGAAGTTCCAAGCTGTTTCTCCAATGTTGATGTAGTCATTTTTATGGTCTTCTCCATTTTAGTGATTGTATTCTTGTTGTCTAAAGTTTTGATTGTCTTTTTGTGGTTATTTTAAAGGACATTTATACTTTGACGGAGTTCTACCTGTACTTTTACAAGAGTTTTTCTGGAGTCATCAAAGTCCTTTTTAGACTTATTCGATAAACAAGGAATACTTGAAACACAATCGTTAAAAAAACATGCCGTAGTGAGAATCATACTTAGTAAGTCTTAAACAGAAACAAGAGTGCCGTAGTGAGAATCATACTTGGTAAGTCTAAAACAGAAACAAGAGTGCCGTAGTGAGAATCATACTTGGTAAGTCTAAAACAGAAACAAGAGTGCCGTAGTGAGAATCATACTTGGTAAGTCAAAAACAGGAAAAAGAGTGCCGTAGTGAGAATCATACTTGGTAAGTCTAAAACAGGAACAAGAGTGCCGTAGTGAGAATCATACTTGGTAAGTCTAAAACAGGAACAAGAGTGCCGTAGTGAGAATCATACTTGGTAAGTCTTAAACAGAAACAAGAGTGCCGTAGTGAGAATCATACTTGGTAAGTCTAAAACAGAAACAAGAGTGCCGTAGTGAGAATCAAACTTGGTAAGTCAAAAACAGAAACAAGAGTGCCGTAGTGAGAATCATAATTGGTACATCAAAAACAGAAACAAGAGTGCCGTAGTGAGAATCATAATTGGTACATCAAAAACAGAAACAAGAGTGCCGTAGTGAGAATCATACTTAGTAAGTCTAAAACAGAAACAAGAGTGCCGTAGTGAGAATCATACTTGGTAAGTCTAAAACAGAAACAAGAGTGCCGTAGTGAGAATCAAACTTGGTAAGTCAAAAACAGAAATAAGAGTGCCGTAGTGAGAATCATACTTGGTAAGTCTAAAACAGGAACAAGAGTGCCGTAGTGAGAATCATACTTGGTAAGTCTAAAACAGAAACAAGAGTACCGTAGTGAGAATCATACTTGGTAAGTCAAAAACAGAAACAAGAGTGCCGTAGTGAGAATCATACTTAGTCTAAAACAGAAACAAGAGTGCCGTAGTGAGAATCATACTTAGTAAGTCTGAAACAGAAACAAGAGTGTCGTAGTGTGAATCATACTTAGTAAGTCTAAAACAGAAACAAAAGTGCCGTAGTGTGAATCATACTTAATAAGTCTAAAACAGGAACAAGAGTGCCGTAGTGAGAATCAAACTTGGTAAGTCAAAAACAGAAACAAGAGTGCCGTAGTGAGAATCATACTTGGTAAGTCTAAAACAGAAACAAACAAGAGTGCCGTAGTGAGAATCATACTTAGTAAGTCAAAAACAGAAACAAGAGTGCCGTAGTGAGAATCATACTTGGTAAGTCAAAAACAGAAATAAGAGTGCCGTAGTGGATTCATACTTGGTAAGTCAAAAACAGAAACAAGAGTGCCGTAGTGAGAATCATACTTAGTAAGTCTAAAACAGAAACAAGAGTGCCGTAGTGAGAATCATACTTGGTAAGTCTAAAACAGAAACAAGAGTGCCGTAGTGAGAATCAAACTTGGTAAGTCAAAAACAGAAACAAGAGTGCCGTAGTGAGAATCATACTTGGTAAGTCTAAAACAGGAACAAGAGTGCCGTAGTGAGAATCATACTTGGTAAGTCAAAAACAGAAACAAGAGTACCGTAGTGAGAATCATACTTGGTAAGTCAAAAACAGAAACAAGAGTGCCGTAGTGAGAATCATACTTAGTCTAAAACAGAAACAAGAGTGCCGTAGTGAGAATCATACTTAGTAAGTCTGAAACAGAAACAAGAGTGTCGTAGTGTGAATCATACTTAGTAAGTCTAAAACAGAAACAAAAGTGCCGTAGTGTGAATCATACTTAGTAAGTCTAAAACAGGAACAAGAGTGCCGTAGTGAGAATCAAACTTGGTAAGTCAAAAACAGAAACAAGAGTGCCGTAGTGAGAATCATACTTGGTAAGTCTAAAACAGAAACAAACAAGAGTGCCGTAGTGAGAATCATACTTAGTAAGTCTAAAACAGAAACAAGAGTGCCGTAGTGAGAATCATACTTGGTAAGTCAAAAACAGAAATAAGAGTGCCGTAGTGAGAATCATACTTGGTAAGTCAAAAACAGAAACAAGAGTGCCGTAGTGAGAACAGTGCCGTAGTGAGAATCATGCTTAGTAAGTCTAAAACAGAAACAAGAGTGCCGTAGTGAGAATCATACTTATTAAATCTAAAACAGAAACAAGAGTGCCGTAGTGTGAATCATACTTAGTAAGTCTAAAACAGAAACAAAAGTGCCGTAGTGTGAATCATACTTAGTAAGTCTAAAACAGGAACAAGAGTGCCGTAGTGAGAATCATACTTGGTAAGTCTAAAACAGAAACAAGAGTGCCGTAGTGAGAATCATACTTGGTAAGTCTAAAACAGGAACAAGAGTGCCGTAGTGAGAATCATACTTGGTAAGTCTAAAACAGAAACAAAAGTGCCGTAGTGTGAATCATACTAAGTAAGTCTAAAACAGGAACAAGAGTGCCGTAGTGAGAATCATACTTGGTAAGTCTAAAACAGAAACAAAAGTGCCGTAGTGCGAATCATACTTAGTAAGTCTAAAACAGGAACAAAAGTGCCGTAGTGCGAATCATACTTGGTAAGTCTAAAACAGGAACAAGAGTGCCGTAGTGAGAATCATACTTAGTAAGTCTAAAATTGAAATAAATTGTTAATTTTGTCAACCGTAAACTGTTATTATTGAGAAAAAATTGAGGGCATAAGCGATGCAAATAATACATCAGTTGTCTGTTTAAAAAGAAACAACGAAGATTTTCATTGGTGGATTCGGGCGGATGTGCATTCGGCGACCAACCAGTAAAATTACAAAAAGTAATGTTTAGCATAAAAACAAGTCAATTGTTTTGTATTGTAACAGTTGGTGTTCCGCCCCACTAACCTCAAATCCTGCATCTATGCCGGAGATTATTTTGATTTCATCTAGGTTATTGAACCTCTGTTGCTTTTGTATCTTGTACTTGACATTGTAAAGATATGAAACGGTATTAGATTTATCCAAAAATATTTATCCTGACTTACCTTTTTCGGAGTTCTAAATTCTAAAACGTCTAGGGTCGATCCTAGTGTTGTAGAATCTAAATATGAATACAGTTTGCTTTTATAACCAAAATATTTGACTGTTTACATTGAAGACCAGCTGTTACGACTGAAATTTGAGATCTTTTTCGAGCTATTACAAGCAATGCAAAATCCCAAAATAGATGGGAAGTGGGCTGTTTATTTTTTCAAACAGTTTACTTTCTAAGCAGCAAATTCCACGAAGAAAGACGAATACTAGTAATATGTAACCTGTCTGTTCAAATTTAATATCAAAACTCACTAACATTTCAGTCAGAAAAAAGTGCTTTTATTATATATGTAGAATCAATAACATACTAGCTAGTCTTTCATATTTACTTAGTTAAATTGTCCCTCTTATATAGTGAAGATCTTTACAAATCCCAATTTTTGGACTGAAAGGCGAAACTGTTAAAAATAACAGGAGTAACATAAAACTATGGCTTCATTTTTAAGTTGTTGCAGAAAATTTTTTGAACTTGTGTCCTTTTCTCTTACAGCTTTTTTTCGTTCATGACGTATCACCAGAGGATCCTCAGTGACCGAGTGGTCTGAGTAATTCATCTACAGCAATCGCTAGTGGCCTGTCAACACTGAGGCTATAAGTTCGAACCCCGCACGTAACAGGTGTGTTCAACTCCGACCTTAATTAACTAGGCATGCCAGTTTTCCTGCCGAAGGTCTGTGGTTCGCCCAAGGGACCCCGGCTTCCTCCACTAATAAAAACTGGCCGCCAAGATATAGCAAACAGTGCTGAAAGCAGCGTTAAACGCCAACAATCTATCAATCAATCAATTTACAAAGAATCACTTAAAACTTGCTATCAGGATTTTTACATGTTATGAACAATACCAAGAACCGTCTAGCGGAGCAGAGACTGATTTCCCTTTCTGAGAATTTTAGTTCAGACACCCTCTGTTTTATAGTAGGCTTCGTGTTAGACAATCTTAATTTTCTGTAAAATTTTTTGTGGTTTAACCATGTTGTTGACCTTCTTTAAGTAATAAGTAAAAAGGCGCTAACATAATACGTTTACATAATCGATTATCGAGTGGCTTACGTCTGTCGTATTACTTGCCTCCATTAATAATGGTCAAGTTGATAACTTACCGCAGCTAACAAATAGATGATGATGGCTGCTTAACGTCCAGCGGCAAATTAATATGTATATTCAGGACGAGAAGATGTTAATGTAATATGAATATTAACCCTGCTTTGTAGTAGACCGACACGCTGATCCGGATTTTCAACTTGCTAGTTCTCAAGGTAGCAGTCCGCAGGAAGACATGTCACCTTATCCGGACACATTATTCTGACTCCGAGCCGACCAGTCTTTGATCTTACTCCTTAATGCCGCGTGATTAGCGGAGAAGCAGCAAATACCAATTTTAGTCTTTGGTTTGACCCGAACCCACGACCTTCCGCACTCGAGGCGAACACGCTACCACGAGACCACCGAGGCGATTGCTAACAAATAGATAGATAAGGTTAAACCTCATTCTCGTACAGTGTATATGAAGAAATAAGGATTAAGGGTATGCGTGAATTATAAAAGACTCCTAGAATATACTTTTATTGCACAAACATTTAAGGTTGCATCTACCCCGAGAAACAGTTAATCTTAAGTATTCCTATATGAAACCTGTTTGAAAATATATTAGTCCAAACGGTTTGGATATTTTCTTGAAATATTTTTTTTTAATCGAGCTTGCCTAATTCAATTTATGTTTATTATATATTTGCTACCACAGTGACTGTTTTTTAACACTCCTTGTTGACTTGGGTCTTTATGTATAACATTTGACCAGTAGCCAGAGCTCATTTAAAAAAAATGGTTGACAAGATATCTTGAAAAATGAATAATTGATATAAATATTTAACAAGAAATTTTTATCATATGATATATATATACATGTACAACAATAATTGAAATGATGCTATTCTGTTGTTTTTTTAATAGTAATTTAGATGAAAAGATACCTGTACACTGTATTTCAGTCGGGTAAATAATCTTAATAAGATAAAATAAGAATAAAAAATATGCAAGCTCATATTTATTTGTTTAATACATTGTTTAGTCATAACACACAAGAATATTGTCTAGTTATTTGTTTGAAAATTTCTTTTATATTTCTGATATAAATGAAACATAGATACAATATATGAGGGTCTGGATGGGGTTTATAGAATAGTGAATAATTGGTGAAAGTATAACGAATAAATAAAAATAAGAAATGGGCCAAAGAATAGAGAATGATATATATAGGGGCCACCCAATAATAGGCAAAAAAATAAAGAAAAGAGAAAAAAGGCCAAAAAATCAGAGAATATGAATATGAAGAAATATAAGGAATGAAGATCCTCTACCCGGACTCCCGTCTATGTTTACCATAGATTCATATTAAAATATTGAGAATGTTTTACTGACTTTAGATATTTTAAAAGATTGTAAAGTTGCCTTTTTACCTCGTATATTGTTGATATGCGCTCTGTTTTTATCTGAAGTACGTGTAGTGCCATATTTATACATTTTATATATGGAGAGCAATTAGAATGCTAAATATTGAATAAAATATCAATTACATATTACTCGTTCGTTTTTCATCCTTTTATTTGTTTCTCCAATGAAAAAAAATGTTTATATATGGAATTACTTTTCAAAAGCTATTATAAAACATTATGAAAGTTTTTTGACAAAATATGAATTGTATGTAATAAAACAGCATAACTATTAAGAATGGTATCTATTCCTTCGGATTATTTCTTTGTTTCTAAATGTGGAATTTACAAGTCGACACTGCATGTTATCGAATTACTAGACACAAATGTGGAAGTTTATGTGTAACTTTACATGTCTATAGCGGAAGTTGTAATAATTAGCACAAATTACGTATTATTAATTTTATGTATATATACCAGAATGTTTCTCTGTACTATCACTGAGTTCCCGACCAGCAAACATGTAAGTTTCTACAGTATTAGTACTAAAAACTCAAAAATAACTTTTAAAATTATCAAAACTTTTTTATACACTCAATTCATTTTTACTTATTTTCGGAAATAAATATAAACAAAATAAAATAAAAAAAATAATAAATTAAATATCTACATAAAATTCCATTTTATAATTCAGTGACAATAAAAACTAAATAAATTATCGTTCGTTTCTTTATATATATTTATCTATTCTAATTCTAGAATTCAAAAGTATTTAAACAAGTCTATATCTAAATCCCTAGGCTGCAGTACAACATGAACTGTGTCATCCTTCATGTTAATATTATTTATTTTTTTATAAAAATTCGAAAAAGAAAATTAATTTAAATGAGATTGTGTTTGGAACTATATTATAAAGGAAAGAAAAATATGGATGTTAAGAGTTATATTTTTGAATTTAAGTAAACGAGAGAATATTGTAAAAAAAGAGAGGAAATAGATAACAAAGGGGGTAATCTCATATGTTGATAGACAACACCACTATAAAAAAAAAAACAACACAAGCGAGAGAGAGAGGGTTTTTGATATTTTTCATGTTGCAATCACAGAATATCCTTAACAGTTGCATGTCATTTCATTTGATGATATAATTAACCGTTATTTTTTTAAATTTCAGAATGAAAGCCACACTTGCCATTGTCGCCGTCTTGGGTCTGTTTGCCCTGAACTGTGTGAGAGCTGATGGTTACGGTAATGGAGGTGGATACATGAAGGGTGGATGGTCCGGGTATGGAGGTCAAGGATATGGAAATGGAGGTTACCACGGATATGGCAAATCAGGTGGCTCCCACGGATATGGAGGATATTCCGGATATGGAAAGAAGGGAGGCTACGTTGACGAAATCACACACTACAGTCAATACCCAGTATATGGAGGCGCTGTTGCTGGTCCATATGCCGGTGGTTATGCTGGGTCATATGCCGGTGGTATTGGTGGAGACATGGACGGTGGTCTGTTCGGACAAAATGGAGCTCTCCGTAAGTTCTGTTTTTAATCTATGATAAAACAATTAGAGTATAAAACATTAGCGGTATGCTTAATTATCACGTTATTTTTTTTTTATTAATTCACCTGAAAAAATATACTATGAATTTTCTAAATCTGCTTAAATTGTATGGCATTCTTAAGTTACCTGTGGAATAATTATTATTTTAAGATATTTACAACTGCATATAAATTCTCAATATTGAATGTTAATTGTAGCGTTTTCTTTATTTTAGTCATGTTTTTCTTCTTGCTTCTCCTTTTGGGCAACAACAACAACGGCAATGGTCTGTTTGGTCGTTAAATCTGACTTAATGTAAGTATCATAAACAGATTATTGTAGTTTTCATTAATCTTTGGTCATTTATTTATGTAATTGTAACCAAATCATTGTTATGACTGTAATAATTTATACATATAAAAACTAAACTTGATTATTCTGCCGGTTTTGGACGCCTTTTGTTGACATTGACGATCAGTTTGAAACAGTTACATGTGTATTTCAAATCTAATTCGATTTCTCGTGCAAAGATAACAATTATCTGTTAACCTCAATATATGTATACAATCAAAATATAAATACAAGTTTAAAATTGTATACATTATAATTTTTTCTAGTTTATTGAAATGATTACCATTACTTATCACTTGATAAATATTAGATCAAACGGAATAGATGACTTTTCAAATTAGAACCAAGCACACGTGGAATGTACAAATTGGCGAAAGAATAATATAAAGTTAACTGGTCAAAAAAGAAAAAGAAAGCATTTAGATAAGAATCTTAAAAACTTATAAAGGTACCAGATACATAAAGTTTTCGTCTGTTGTTTGTAGATATGCGACCTTCACTCAGATTACAATTTTGTTGAATCTGTACTGTTGGGTTGCTGTCTCATTGACATTTACTAAATATCTCGATTTATTCATAAACTCTTTGCGGAACACTCAAACTCGGTAAAAACAACAATTGTTCAAGTCCAATACAGGGATACAATGTTCCTTTGTGTTTTATATTTTTTATTTTCTCAATTGAATGTAATATAATTATTATTTCAGTGTAGTGTAAGATGTCGATATGAATAAAGCTAGAAGATTTACGAAAACAGTGATTATTTGAGAAGCATCTGAAGAACATGTGAACTCTAGTGTATTGAAATGGAAAAAATGTATACTGTTACAATTTTGATAAAAAGTGTAAAATTTATTGTATTGTAATTGCAATAATGTGATACATGAAAAATAAAATTTAGAAATTAAATTTTAAAAGCTTATTATTGCACTGCAAAAGTGTCCTGAAATATTACCCTGAAGATTTTTTTATTTAAACACTAGTCTGACTATCATTCGGGAATTTCATGTACTCTTTTACGCAGCTTTCTGTGGTTAAGAAACACAATAGTTTTAGTCTGTCTTCGATGTATATTCGAGCTTTTTAATATAAAAATAAGGAGATGTGGTATGATTGCTAATGAGACAACTATCCACCAGAGTTCAAATGAATGGGATGTAAGCAATTATAGGCAACCGTACGGCCTTCAACAATGAGAAAAACGCATACCGTATGGTCGGCTATAAAAGGCCCCGAGATGAAAAATATGATAAACAAATATGACAGATATGAACCAACGACAACCTCTGAACTACAGGCTCCTGACTTTGGACAGCCACATAAAGAATGTGACGGGGTTGAACATGTTTGTGAGCGCTCAACCCTCCCCTAACCTGGGACAGTGGTGTAACAGTACAACATAAGAACAAACTATAAAAATCAGTTGAAAAAGGCTGGCTTAACTCATCAGATGGATACAAATAGAAATACATCTAACAAAAACAAAGAGTGGACGTGGACGGGTACTAATACATCCACACAACAAAAAGACACTAAGTACAGATCTGAGAGTACTAGCAGTTAATGACAGTTAGTTCAAAGCCAATAACAAATAAAAAAAATCATGTATCTAAGACAAAAATATCAATCAGTACTCATCCAACATCCAATGGATTTAGTGTATAGACGTCATTAACAGTCAGAGAAAAACATGTCCTTATGCAATGCCAAATTATAGGTATCGACAGATTGTACTACCGTGAAAGTAGATTTGTGTAATATTTAGTATGGTTTTAATTTACTGATAACAAAATCAATATTTATACCAATAAAACAATATTCAAAGATTTAATTACAGTGTTGAATAGGTAACATTTTAGAATAAGTTTATTTAAAGTTTTGTTCGGGCGTTAAAACGTAGTTGCAAAAATAAAAATATGCTACCCCATCAATATTGCAAATCTATCTAAGAACCATCCACGAGTAGATAGTTTTTGCAAATAGTTATAGGTAACCTTAAGAGGCAAGGTCAACAAAACATATTGCACACATAAAATAACAAATATCCTATTTCTAAACAAATAGAAGATTGTTTGTTTGTTTATTGGTGTTTAACACCAATTTCAGCGCTCTTGGCTATACCATGGCGGCCAGTTTTTATTAATGAGAAAGCCACATATAGACGATAACGAATTCAAAGAAGCATTCTATGCGTTTAAATAAGTAGATTTGTACTTGAATTCTTTAATAGATTCTTTTAAAAAGGTTAATGCTCATTTTGCCCATTGAAAAAGGTAAGATAAACTTGCTTGTGTTCTGTAGATTTTCTGCCAAAAGAATTACCGAAAACTTTTAGGTACCTACAGGCTTAAAGGTTTACTTTCGATCAAAACCTCAATATATACTTTATCTGTTATTTGCTCTTTGGTCGGGTTGTTGTCTCTTTGACATATTCCCCATTTCCATTCTCAATTTTATTTCGTCTTGTTTTGGGCTTTATATCATATACTAGTAGTTGCTTACACCAAAACTACGTAGCTGTAAGCAACTAAAGCGTTCAGACTTTTTGCGGTTGCCACGGTATTTTTCCCCCAAATAACTATCATAATATGAAGCAATTTAGTATATAGTTCTTGTCTTGAAACATTTGAAATAACTGAATTCGAACAAGTATTCGTTAATAATTCTTATATGTTTTACATATTAGGGAATACGTTTATATGATTGGTCGAGAGGGCTTCCGGTAGTTGCTCTTGAAGTTATTTATTTTTCGATAGACGAAGTTGACGGAACTACTTTTTGTAACCTCTTCTTCTTCTTCTTTAAGTTTCTAACGATCCTTCATTTACTGAAGATTATTCGCCGAGCGTCGACTATAAAATTTGATTTATAATATACACAAGATAACCAGAAAAAAAGAAACAAAATCAAAAATCAAAATAATATATAAATATAAGAAGATGTGGTATGAGTGCCAATGAGACAACTCTCCATCCAAGTCACACATTGTAAAAGTAAACCATTATAGGTCAAAATACGGCCTTCAACGCGGAGCCTTGGCTCACACCGAACATCAAGCTATAAATGGCCCCAAAATGACTAGTGTAAAACCATTCAAACAGGAAAACCAACGGTCAAATCTATATAAAAATCGAGAAACGAGTAACACTTGTGAACTACATTAACAAACGACAACCGCTGAACATCAGGTTCCTGACTATATGTACAATTGAAAAATAACATTTAGATAAAACTATATACATTTGATAACAATAAAAGTTAAGGGTAGAAAATAGGGATTAGAGCAGATTCTGAGATCATACTCTTGAATCACTGTACTGTACTGCATGAGATTATTTGTTGTGTGGCAAATGATTCCAATCTGTAACCAATGTAAAGAAGATTGCGGCGATGATAAAACAAACCAGCTCGACGTTAAAAAATATGTATTATCACTTCGTCGTTAAATTACATAATTAACATTCATTTGAATGATAACAAGATATTCTTGTAGTTTATTTTGTATCAGAAAGCAAATTTCATGGAATACATTTTTTAGCGTTAACCAAATCAATGACACAAATGTACAATTTACGCGTGATAGAGGTTACGGGTGGGTAAATTAAATTAATTATCTCCAATTATAAAGAATTATAAGGATTAAACGTCTTTTTAAAGGAATTTATATATTACTTATACATCAGTGACATACAAGACAATAATTCAACCTCATTTCAATCTATATGTGACGGCTGTCATTCGGTATATCGAGAAAAAATTATCGTGAAAGAAAAGGTAAAGGTGGTCAAGTATTGCGATTGAATCGTGAAAGATTGCAAAAGAATTAACCTTAAAAGTCCTTAAAGGAAAGTGACAATTCGTCATCGCCAGTAGGCTATTCGAACCATTTTGTGTCTAATCCCGAATTAGATCAGTTAACGGAAACATCGAAAGTTTCAAATAAAGATCAATATTAAACTATAAAATACCGGTACGTGTACAAGGAAATACCGAAGAAATAAAACCTTTAAATGAGGATATTTTTGTGTAACACAAAGAAAACGATCCGCTAGATTCTATTTATCCGGAATAGATAACAAATCAACACGATCTGGAATTTTACAGTTCCTTGAAGTGGAAAGGTGTCAATACGACGTTCCTACAAGTGTTTCCGGCGTCGGCGGCGCCGGCAGCGGCGTCGTCAACAATGTATTAGTTTATGATAAGGTCTAATTTATGGTGAACCATTAGTAATAGGTCAATGATATTTGGTATTCAGTTGTATTAGCATTGGTACATCTCATTTCCACGGAGATTATTTGGCTCCGCCCCCTCAGTCAAGGTCTATTGGCTTTGAAACTTTTCATAGTTTACATGTATTAGTTTGTGATTAGGTCAATTAATGGGGAACCACTAGTGGTAGGCCAATGGTAATTGGTGTTCAGTTGTATAAGCATTGGCATATCTCATTTCCATGGAGATTATTTGGCCCCGCCCCCTCGGTGATGGTCTATGGACACTGAAACTTTTGCTTAGTTTTCATGTGTTAGTTTGTGATTAGGTCAGGTTAAGGGGAACTATTAGTGGTAGGTCAATGAAAATTGGTATGCAGCTGTATAATCATTAGCACATCTCATTTCTATGGAGAATATTTGGTCTTTACCCCTCAGTCATGGTCTGTTGACTTTGAAATTTTTGCTTAGTTTACATGTGTTAGTTTATGATTAGATCAGTTTAAGATGGACCACTAATTTTAAGTCAGTGATATTTGGTTGCAAGTCTCATTTCCATGGAGAATATATAGCCCCACTCCCTCATCATGGTTCATTATGACAGTTAAAGAAGGTGTATTGTCTGTTTTTTTATACTAGTGTTTATTGGTGGAGTAATTAATGAATCAGAAAGAAGTAATAAAGTTACTGGAGTCAATAGTATAAAATGTTGTGCACCCTCACTTGCAGACGATATTATATGTATTGCTACAAAACCGAAGCGTTTACAACACATGCTTGATATATGTACAAGATATTCAAATAAATGGCGGTTTCAGTTCAACGGAAAGAAATCTTGTGTTATTCAATTTTCAAAATGTTCTATAAAAACAGACTATGATTGAAAAATAAACCAAAAACCTGTACCTGTTGTAAAAAGCCATATTCATCTAGGCATTGAACTAAACGGAAAATTAAACACACTAGCAAGAACGACAAAAGCTTGTAGGAAGGGTAGAAACACTTATTTTGCAATTGCAAACTTAAAAGGTGATAATACGAATCCATTAGTTCTCGTGAAACTGTATAAGCCGTTTGTAATTCCTACTTTTTATATGGCTGTGAAGTTTGGTCTAATATATCAAGATGTCACATTACTGAATAGACTTCAACATTTTGATGTAAAGCATGCACAAAAGTTCAAGACGTCAACAAGATCAGATATGTGCGAAAGCATGGTTGGGCTACGAAATATGACCTGAGAAATCGAAAAAAACGTAAATTATATTTCTTTGAAAAACTTTGTAAAACTGCAAAAAAATTCTTGTCTTGCAAAACAAATCTTTCTGCAAAGACTTTTATCGTGCCTGTTAGATGGACGAAACCATATTGGATTTATTCCGGACATTTTAGACATTCTAAATAAATAAAATCTATATGAATTTATTATCCCCTATATTAGTGATGGCAACTTTCCTGATAAGCTGCAATGGGAACGTATTGTTGTGAATGTAGTAGAATCGCATTAATTCGGACAATGACTTCAAAAGATTCAAATATATACATAAATCTGTATCTCCGGCTCTTGTGTGGAAATTCCCTTCGAACAGCTCCAAAATTCGTACTGCACTGTTTATCGGAAAACTGATATCTACCGCTCCAAACCACGTTTCCAAATTTTGTGAAATTTGCGACCATCTGTTCACTGAAGTTTTCGTA